GGGGGAGATAGGTCTTAGTGGTGTTATTGTCAGCAATAGTTCCTGAAAGCTACAAAAGGTGTTCTTGTTTTTGGCTGCCCTACTCAGATTTCATGTGTTTTTCTTGCTGTTGCATGAGAAGTGCAGGAAGAAAGAACAGGCGTAGCAACCTGTGGGGATAACATTACGTTATCTTTGAGTCACAACTTTCAGAAAACCCACTGTGTTTTTCCAGAGTTTTTGTGATTTGTCACAATTATATACACGTGTTTATATAAATATATATTAAAAATCAATTTAATGTATCATGAAAAGATCACACTAAAGAAAGCGCTACTAGGACAAACTGAGAGAAGACTTAGCTAACATTAATAAAAATAGGTGTGATTGTTTTTGATGAATGCTGCTGTGTATGTGTGTGCATGATGGTTTGTGTTGAATGAGCCATATGTGTACAGTATTGTTGTATGTGAATGGATTACGTATGTTCACTGGGCTCTATTGCAAAATAGATCTTATGTCACAGAGAATTCCTGCATAAATACTATTATTTATCCAGTTGGCTTATAAGTTTTTACTGCATAAATACTATTATATTATACACACTGCCTAAATACTACTATTATATATAACCTACTATTATGATCCAACCCAATGACATCACTGAGGCAGTGGTTGTAGGCTACTTTACCGCCACCTAGTGGAGCAGATACAACATTACAAGAGACACAATTCTTTTGTTCAGTCTCATTTGTCACTTCAGCTCACAAAAAGCTGTGGCTCACTAGTTGCTGATACTTTTTGTACATAAAGCATTTCATCCTAATAATCTGCATTTGTAGAACTTGCCTTTGAAGTCCTTTTAGTTCAGTAAATCTTTTAAATTAAATGACAAACTACATTGTTTGTCCGTGTTGTCTAGTAGAAGCATTTTCTGATTTGACTCCCCCATCAGCAGGACAACAATCTTCTGAAACTGTATACTACACTACAAACTGTTCTTAATTCTATATGTGAATATATGTGCAGTAAAGTTAAACAGTGTGTGTGTGTTTTGTATGGGCACATACACATTCCCATTGCCTTGCCATGGACGATAATGTTTTTCTGATTGTGACTCTGGTTGCGCATGCCATCACTTCCTGCACCTGTGTTTCCTACCTGTATGTGCTGTCACACTGACTGGTGATTTAATGCACAGGCTTTATAGGGCTGAAGCCTGGGGGCCTGGGATTACAAAGGGCCTGTGAATATCAACAATAATGGGGCAGTATAGTGTCAATAATTAAGTATACTGATTGATCAGTCATCATTATTAAAAACAAAGGGTGTGGGTGCGGCTGTGGCTCAGGAGGTAGAGGTCGTTCCCCCACTTAGTTATTAGGAATCAGATTGCTTATTTGGTGCAAAAATGACACACACAGTGTTTTCTTTAGCTGCACAGTGGCCAGAGCGGCCCAGCAGGCCAGGCCCTGCCAGGGCAGTGATATTATTGTTTAAATGGTTCTAAAGCTGGACCATTCCTCTGTTTTATTGTTTAGCATGGCTTAATTTGACTGCTGAAAGTAGTTATGCAGCTTGGGGTCACTCCACTCTGTTGATCTTAATCACAGCTGCAGGGTGGTGTTGCTTTCTGTCTTATCCAGCTGGTCACAGCTAGCATTAGTTGAAAATGCTCTATACTTCCTTTATTGCTTTATTAGATTTTTCCATCAGCCGCTGGTGTTATACTTCACCACGTATTGCTCTGCTTGTGCTTTTCCTGATCCTTTATTGCAGTAGTATAGTGTTCACACTGAGTAAATCATCAACACCTATTCACTGTGTTCTTTTTGACTGCACATGAAAAAGGTCTTCATGTGTTTTTAGTGCAGTTTTATGGATCATTTATACCTTGAATTAATGCAGATGTAGAAAGACATTTTGGTGGTTAATGTAGTAGCAAAGTAAAACACATACATTTGTAGTTTCATCAGCTATTTAAGTCAGTAAAACACACCTGTCACATAATCTCTATTCTGAAAATGAGCTCTTGATTTAGGACAACTGCAGTGTTTCGTGACATTACATGACACTCAAAAGATTAAACTAAATCCTGAGGGGAAAGCCTTCCCTGTGCACTGATGCATTCTTCTTTACAGTCTCTATCCAGGGGCAAGTGAGGACGGTGATTCAGATGTGTTGTAAATGTTTTTATTTGCATTCAAACATATCACCTCAGCTGATGATATGTGTGTAATGAAACACAGAGCCGCACCATTCAGGTGACACTGATGTCAGCAGGGTTGACTTCAGGTGTTTTGTAAGTGGAAAATTAATCATTGGACTCAAACACCACACCCATGAGGCAAACGCATTCTTTCCATTGTGAGAGCTACTGTTCTGTATTCACATGATGACGTACACATGCACACAGAGTTACAGCCACAACAACTAGATAGTAGGTTGTGGCTGTAAATGCACTATTTTAGGATTAGATAGATACAGTAAAGCAGACAGAGAGACAGGGAGTCGTGTTGGACTCTTGGGGTGGCCAGGTTGATGAATAAGTGGTAATGTTACATTTTCTCTTTGTACAGCTAAGGTTATAAAGTATTCATATTGATTTGTACAGCAGAGCTGCCACTGAGGACAAGAGTGTGACCAGATTAGGAGAAGTATCTGTAAGTATGAGCAACATGCAGTGAGAGCTGAAAGTATGATCTGCTGTGCTGTGAAAGTGAGAGCAAGTGAAGTTAATAAGACTAAGATATGGATTTTTTTTTAAAAAACAACAACCTTTTAGGTGTCAGTACAGTTACACGCTGTAGATTTGACAACTCAGTAGGTTTTATTCTGTTTTTAAACTGTTGCTTCACATTCAGTGATTACATGTGCTACAGCCGTTCTTCTTTCTGCATCTAAATTAGCCACAGAACTTCTCTTATTGTCTTTCTAGTTTTTAAACATTTTTCAAAATAGCAGTTTTTGATTAGATTTGTATATGGCCTTTGCTGTCTTATCTTCATACATTTTACAGCCATAAGTTGTTAAGTCTGACTTAGCATAAAGATGGAAAATAAAGGGTAAAGTCTAGTCTAGCTGTGTCTGTGACTTCACTGTGTCTAGTTAGGTAATACTGAGATGCAGAGTGTTACTTGGCAGAGATTTTTATAATCAAGTAAAAAGATCTAGTCTCAAGAACCCATAGATATCTTAAAAATAGTGCGGCTGGACTGAGAGCAAGCACATTTAGCTGCTATAAAGCAGTTTCATACCTGTGAGTGTTGATCAGTCAGCTTCATAGATTCTGGTTGTTCAAATTTCAAGCATTACATTTCTCAGAACCAGAATTAAAATCTCAGTAACAAGTTATTAAGGATAAAAAAGCTCAAAACAAATACCTTTTTAGAGAAATATCTAGTCAACCAAAAACCAAGCATCTTAATACCTTGATTTTACGATGTTATACTTCATCTTACTTAGTGTATTTTTTGCTGTGTAATTCATTAGAATAGTTCAGTGCTTTCTCTTTCTATGCATTTACTTCAGCAAAAATCTTCCTGAGCTTAACACAACTTCCTTTTTTAACTTCCTTTTTTAACTGCTCTGCAGATAATGTCCTCTTTAGGTAATATGTTGCCAGAAAAACAGCTGCATTGCACCATCTGTCAGCAAGTGTTCACCGAACCAGTGACCACTCCCTGTGGACACAACTTTTGCCAGGCCTGCATCCATAGTTTGTGGGACAGCAGTGATGTCTGCCAGTGCCCCACCTGTAACAGACCATTCACCTCTCAGCCTGAAATAAGTATCAACACGGCCTTCAAAGATCTGGTGGATGCATTTAGAAAAATGATAGTTGGCTCGTCGGCTTTGCCGCTGCCTGCAGCCAGACCTGGTGAGGTGGTGTGTGACGTCTGCGCTGCCACGTCCCTGCAGGTGAAGGCCCTGAAGTCCTGCCTGGTGTGTCTGACCTCGTACTGCGATGCCCACCTGGAGCCTCACCACAGGGTTGCGACCTTGAAGCTGCACAAGCTGATTGATCCGGCGATGAACCTGCAGGACAGGATGTGTAAGAAGCACGAGAGGTTGCTGGAGATGTTTTGTAAGGACGAACAAAAGTGTGTGTGCCGGTTCTGCACTGAGACTGAGCACAAAGACCACCAGGCTGTCGGAATAGAGGACGAGAGTGGGGAGAGGAAGGTGCAGTATATAGCATATACTCTGCATTACAAGGGCTTATACTGTTCTATGAGAAGCCCCATTAACAGTGTATATGAAGCAGAATAATAACAAGATATTAATGTGTGAATGAGAATAGTCATGTGTAAGCAACAGTACTTAAAGTACTTATAAATATAGAAATATACTGTTTATATACACACATCCCTCAGTCAGTTTATTAGGTACACCTGTACAACTGTAAGCACTTCTGCCTAATCATCTGTGTTTACTGCATGAAGCTCAAAATGTATCAATTCAATTATGTGTTTATTATTGAGTTCATAGTTAAAGGTGCTGTTGCACTGGACCACATTATATTCAGAGGTGTTCCTAATATTCTGACCATCTCAGGTATGTAGCTGGGGAGGACAAAAATATAGAGACATGCTTAAAATCATTTTCAAAATACTTAAGCTCTAAAACATATCATTTCAAACATTTAGCCTGATATAAATCCACATTCAGTAATATGGAGCTGATGATTAAACTTACATAAACAATTGCAATCTTTGTTATGTTTATGTTGAGATATTAAAACTTGGGACATTTATCTGATTATTATCCAGTGCATGTTTAATTCCATGTCTACGGTCTCATTTTCTAGTAGTGTTAGTGTCAAACTTAGAGTTTACCAGGCAACACGTTTTCAGTCTCTGTTCGGCCTGTTCAGGTCCAGATGAAGAAGACTGAAGCAGATTTTCAGCAGATGATCCAAGAGCGACTGAGGACAGTGGAGGAGATCCAGAGCTGGCTGAAGGTGAGCCTGGTGAGTCCTGATGGAAATGTTATTCACTGTCATGGAGCTGTTTTCAGAGTCGTATTTTCACACAGTATTTCACAAGGCTGCAAGTCAGGGTGAGCTGTTTGTAGAGTCACAAGAAACTGTACAGTGTCTGAAGGTGGTGTTACATACACTTTTTACCTTCACCCAGATGAGTGCAGAGAAGGAGCTGAAGGAGAGCGACCATCTCTTTACGTCTTTGATTCGCTCCATCGAGGAGAGACAAACTGAAGTCAATGCAGAGATCACCGAGAAGCAGAAAGCAGTAGAAAGGAGGGCCGAGGAGATAATCAGTGAGCTGCAGCAGGAAATTACTGAGCTGCAGAGGAGAAACACTGAGCTGGAGGAACTGAGAAACACTGAGGACCACCTGCACCTCTTACAGGTTACTATCAGCCTGTGGTGAATACATATGTCTTTCTCAGTTAAAGCCCCTTTTTCTTTCCCCTGTCCTATTTCATGCTACAGAGGAAAGTAACTAAATCTCCCTCCAACTCAATGTACCAGCACACAACTTCATAAAGAAATGTTCAAATTTTGCCACTGTTTTTTCTTTCTGACAGAGGTTGCCCTTTCTTATGTCACCTCCGCTCACCAGAGAATGGATGGAGTTCAGTATCCACCCTGAACTCTGTGTGGGGACGATGAGGAGAGCGCTGTCTAAAGTGGAAAGCATCCTAGAGAGTGAGCTGGACAGACTGAAGAAGGAAGGCAAGGCAAAACTGAAGTGCTTGTGTGAATAAAGCAGGTTCACACTCCTGCTTGTTAAATGATAAGACTAGCCCTCAGATATCACATGGCAGCAATCTAATAGTGGAAGGGTTAATGACATTTTTAGAACATTTATGGTATTTTCTAAACTTTTGCTTCATTTTAAACAGAAAGATTTCATTAAAACTGCCATAACTGACATTTTTAAATTCTTCTGACAGAGCTGAAGAGGATGCAGAAGTATGCAGGTACCATATGACCACCCTGATCATACTGTTATAGACATCTCCTACTGCCATTTTCAGCATTCAGGATAAAATCTTACGGAATGCTGAACTGCCTTTTGATTAATATAAAAGGGAAGGGTTTGATTTTGTCACCCTCTTGTGAGTAAATACTTTCCCCACCTTATCTCGCTAGTTGATGTGGTGTTAGACCCAGATACCGCCCATCCAAACATCGTCCTGTCACCTGATGGGAAGCAGGCAGGGCGTGGCGAGCTGCTGCACGTTGTTCCTGACAACCCCCAACGCTTTGACCCGGTCATTTGCGTTCTGGGAAAGACAGGCTTCCTGTCTGGGCGGTTCTACTTCCAGGTCAGTGTCTGGTTTAATGATGGAGTTCACTGCTATTGAAGCTATTGAAATTAGTGTAAGGCAAGTTACTTTGTAGTGTTTATTCATCACATGTTGCAAGAATGAAGAATAATCTTCAGTGTCAAAGAGTTATTGCAAAGGTCAATGAATGTACCTGAGAGTCATTTTATAACTTATAACCACAAGGCTAAACACCTTAACATGCAGCAAACCACTGCTGAGTAAGTTCTGAACACATGCTATTAAGGATAGTTAATTCTTGTATTCTGTTTCATTGGCAATCAGGTAGCAGTGGGGTCAAAGACCTACTGGGACCTGGGAGTAGTGAAGGAGTCTGTCAACAGGAAGGGGATGATCACCTCCAAGCCAAAAAACGGCTTTTGGACGGTGCGGCTGAGGAATGGGGATGAGTATAGAGCTCTGGAATCTCCCTCCATACTTCTTTCTCTGAAGGAGAAGCCACAAACTGTTGGGGTGTTTACGGATTACGAGGAGGGAACAGTGTCGTTCTTTGATGTGGAAAACGAGTCCCACATCTACACCTTTACTGGGTGTTTGTTCTCTGAGAGGATCTTCCCCTTTTTAAGCCCGAGTGTCTGTGATGAAGGAAAAAACATGGCACCACTGGTTATCACACCTGTCAGTCACAGCGCTTAGAAGTGTGGATGAATTTAAGCCACAATCTTTTCCTTAACCAGACCATGTAGTTGTAATGTGTGAGGCAAGGAGCAAGGAGGAGGAATGGGATTGGGCCTTGGTCTCAAAGCCTCAATACAAACCATTACTATGTTTTAGCCGTTTTGCACTGAAATCTAGAAGTTTCTATGCTGATGCATGATGTTAGAATAGCTTGTTGTAGTTTTTATGATGTCTAAAATTTAACAGCTTTTCTCTTTCCATGGGGATTTTTTGCAAAAAGATTCATTTAGAGCAGCAAAGACTGGATTGCTATAGAAGCCGATCAGAGTTTAGTAATCGGCCCTGATCCATGACAGCATAGAGGCTACTATGACTTGGGGACCAATGATTTGTGAATCCAAAATAAATATGAAGCTCACACCAGGGCAAAATCAAACAATCACAGACAAATCAAGGTAGTTTAAAAAATCTATTTGTGTTGCTAGTGAGAAAAGCTTCAGCCCCCTCCTCGTGCCACCTTGTATACCACAATGCCGCCTGTGTAAAACTATGTTTAAAGCTGTGTAGACTCTAAAAGCTTGGTGTGGTGCTATGTATTTGCAATGCAGATTTTTTGTGTGTCTTATCTTGTCTTCAGTTTCTATGGTGATTTGTCTTTTAAATAAAGAAGGATTAATTATTGCTATTTACCCAGAAACCTTTTGTTTTGCAAAACCTTTGCATAAGCCCCGGCAGACTGTCCAGGTTTTCATGTGTTTTGCATTCTTAATTTATTTTATTTTACTTTTATTTTTTTTTACATTATAATCCAAGTGCAAGTGTCACATACAGTAGAAGGAATTATTTAATCAAGAAACTTTGATAAACCATGCAAACTGTGCTGTATAATCAACTGACAAAAATGTGTCTGTGATTCTGAAGTGTGTCCTCTAGACAAAAGATTTTCTTATTTAAACAGACAAATCTATTAAGTCACTGTTTGTGCTTCTCATGTTTACTTAAAGTATTAACTGATTTGCATTTTCACTTGAACACAGCGGAACAAACTGTAAATACACTATTAATTTATCATCTTCTAAGGTTGATTTGGCTAATGTATTAGCAAATATTCTTCAGTTTACATGTAAGTGTGTAAAGTAGTAGAAGTTATTTTGGTGACCTAGGCTCAAGAAGTAGAGGTCCCATTCATTTTTCTTATAGAAAACAGTAAGTGATTCACAGCTGGAGCACTTCTACAGCTTGTCATACATGGTTTTTGTAATGCCCCCGTTAACATTTACACATGGCGCCCGATAAATAAACTTATAGAAAGAAAGCAAAGCCAAAACTAGCTACAGTAGTTAGCTAGTTGGTAAGTTTGTCTTTGTGCTGTTTGGTGCCAGACAGTTAGCGTACAGTGTCTTTCTGAAACAAACTGTGATTTTGCTGGCTCAAAGTCTGTAAAAAATGCTCTGCAGAGCAGAGTCAGTTGATTCATTCTCTTCGGGTTTCTTACTATGAGTGACAGTATGCAGCTGAGTGAGTCGGGTGCATTTAGTTGTTCATATAAAATAGTGACAAGTGAAGATTTATTGCGTCATCACAGGAATTACCAGTGGGTGGGTTAGAGAGAGAATATATAAGAGAGACCGTGCAGGCCACCTGCTTTGTATAAGGTGCTTTGCTTTACAAAACGTAATCAGAACACACAAAACAAGATAAGACTGCTCCCAGGTCTTCACATTAGAGCTTTCACCATCACAGGTAAGTTTTATCATATGAAGATAATAATAAGGATTACTGGAACGGTGCTAACTCCTTTTTTTAAAATATGTCTTTTTGATTGTATTTATAGTGGCAACAGAGAATGGCGATGAGAGTGTTTGGCATTTTGGTACTCACAGGTGAGGCAGTAATAAATATCCTGTCCTAAAATACTGTGTATTTATGAGTACTGTACTGTTAAAGCATTTACAAGAAATACCTGCACGGTCAAATGTACATTTCAGATAAATTTACAAATAAACTGAAATATTTAGCGTAATCTGCAATTCTGCACAATCCACAGGTTTATGCCATTTGTCCTCTGCTTATGAATACGTCTTCGTCAATCAGCCCATGACCTGGCCCGACGCCCAGGCATACTGTAGAGAGAACTACATTGATTTGGCCACTGTCAATGATGCACAGGACTTGGATAAAATAGTAGGTCTGGTGGATCCTGGTGTTCAACAAGTCTTCTTAGGTTTGGAAAGAGTCTGGGTTTGGTCACTATCAAGCACTGTCAAAGACAAAGAGCCAACAGCTAACTACACGAACTGGGCAATTGGTCAGCCTGAAGGGCAATATTTTTGTGGGATCACGTCAAATGGAGAATGGTCTACTAGAAACTGCAGCTTGCAGTTGAACTTTTTCTGCTACAATGGTGAGAATGATTTTTTAAATTAGTGGTATGATGCTGTACTAAACATACTAAGAAATGTGTTAAACTATAACATTTATTTCTCCAAGAAATTGATATCATGATGAGCAGGTTGAATTTTAAGATATTGCACATTTGCTGAACTGAAACCTCTGAAAACATGGCGTTAAACTTTAAAGCTACTAATACACTAATAATATTTTACATAACTCAAATGACTGTGCATATTAAATGTCTTGCTTGTAGTGACAAATCCATTGATTATTATACCTATAAATATCAACTCTGCAATTTCCTTCCACTTTTTGAAGGGTTACAGCTCATTGTTTTGGTTTTGTGACCTGCAATTTACTGTGATTCACTCTCACATCTCTCACCACCAGTGTTTTTAGCGATGGTAGGCAACTGTTTTCAGCTGATGCAGTCCCAATATGAGATCATAATTATCATCTAAATCAAAGCTTCAAATGCTTTAGAGAATAAATGAAAATTTATTCAGTGTTGATGTTATTTTCAGAGTCTGCCAAAAATATTTCTCAGAGGTTTATTCTTGTGCCGGTCACTATGGACTGGTACAATGCTCAGAGCTACTGCATGACCCAGCACACAGGCCTGGCCATAACGCGGAACCTGACTGAAGATATGGAGCTAATGAGAATGATGATGGAGGATACCATGGTCTCTGAGGTAAAATTAGCCACTTTTCACATATCATGATTCTATAGCAAAATGAATGCGTATTTATTTCAAGCAACAGTTGCTATACATACTAAGGGTTGTTGTGCATCCATGGAAATTAAAACATGTCATTTAACTAACACAAGTTTAGAAGTGTGACCCATCCCAAAATATTAGTCCTATGGCACAATTTGCCCCAAGGCTAGTGGCACATTTTACCCCACAGCCACCATTTGGAGAAAACTGCTTCATACAGCAACTCTGAACCACAGTTATGCTAACCTTCTGGCCACATGTTGTAGCTTATACAACTTATTACTAATATGCAATAGTGTCCCAAACTTAGGTCTTAGGTTTACCCTCTTCTCCCCAGGCCTGGATTGGGCTGACAGGGCTCGCCTGGAACTGGTCTGACGAAAGTAAATCCACATACATGCCCTGGAAACCACTGGAGCCAGAACTCAATGGAGTCTTTGACTGTGCCGTACTTGAGGTCCACACCAGCACTCTTGGGATGTTTGACGACTCTTGTATGAACAACTGGTCTTTTATTTGCTCCAAAGGTAAACAGGTTTTCCTGCCATCACACCCACTGACATCTATCATTTTTCAATATGTATAATTATGACAAGACATGTTTTATGTAAGTAATCAAAAACTCTGACGTGCCTTGTGCTGTATATAACGATAACTGATGATGAGCAGAAGTGTCTTTTATTCAGAACCCCTTGATGTGTATTATCACCTCAGGCTTAAATCATACGTTCTTCTATCTCTTTTGTATTTTAACCTATGTTTAGGCTCAGTTCAGAGAGAGTTAACTGGTAACAGTGTGATACAAGCCTTGTTACTGTGGTTATCTGCACTTAATTTACCTTGCACACAAATTTATAAATGTGGTAAAACAATGAGGCAAAAATGTGTTTGATGAAATCCTGTTAGCCAGTTATTCTGGGGGCCACTGTATACAATTTGTTTAAGAGAATAATTCTGCATTTTGGGAAATATGTTTATTTGCTGTCTTGCCAAGACTAAGATGATACCGCTCTTAATCTGTAAAGTCAATACAAAGCTGCAGCTAGTTTACAGCTACTGCTTATCTTAGAATAAAAACTGGAAGCAGGAGGACAGCTGGTCACAGGATTTTCCTTCCAGCACCTCTAAAACTCTACAGGTCTAGCAGGTGTATTGTGCTATCTACAGAAAAACCCAGACTAGCTGTGTGCCCCCCTTACCTGTTTTTACAATGTACCATCTTAACCACAAGCAAAACAAAATGAACCTGACTGCACAGAATGGATCTTGTACAAACATTAACTGAACTTAATTAATGAAGGAGTCGACCATTTTGGGAAACATACAGCTGGTTATCTTAGCTTAGCATAAAGACCAGAAACAGGGGGAAACATCTAGGGAGAAACCCACTAACCAGTACAGCTGTACGTATGGAACAGATGTGAGAGTAGATTCTCTTCAGCTGACTCGACAATAATATTTCCCAAAAATGTTCAACTAATCATTTAAGTCTCAAAAAGGTATACTGTAATACTAAAAAATTGTTTCTACTTATAGTCCCAGTTCCAGTGAAGAAACACTTTGTGAACCTTAAGCTGGCTGCTGACTCCTCTGTGGATATGAAAGACCCTGCTGTGATCGCCTCCATCTTAAAAGGGGTAATTTTCTTTTTTTTTCCTCTCACATTCTCACATTTTACTGGCCCTTGCTGGTGCGCAAAGCTCCATGGGCAGTCCTCACTGCATCTTTCAGGCACTTTTTAGCATTGCACTGCATCGGGTTAATGCTATTTAAAAAAAAACACACACACAAAATTGTATTGTACCATCATATATCTACTTTCTGTTGTGCAGATAGAAGAGAAGCTGAGAGCTCAAGGTGTGTCTCAAAAATTCACACTGAGCTGGAGTAAGAGCCCGGAAAAACAAGATGTCCAATGAGCACATAAAGAAGCACCTCAAAAGTATGAAAACCACTGTGCTCTATAATTTACACGTCATTTAATTCCATAAATAATACCTTTCAGTTTGTTTTAATATCTCCATTAAAAAAGGCTTAATTCTTGACCATATATAATGCCAGAATTGTGAGTCACATTGAAAGAGTTTGGTTTATTTCTGTATAATCTCTGCATTTCGAATTAATGTTAATCTATATAAAGGGTTTGTTATGAACATTTTGGGTGAAACTAGAAGTGTTAAATGATTAGCATTCATCATTTAGCACTTCTAATTGTTTGTATTTGAGTAATAGTTGAAATAATACAACATAAAGCCTATTTCCTTTAAAATATGAAAAATATAATGGGTCTAATGTCTGTATGGTGTGATGAAATTAATGTGTTTGTTGAAAATGTCCAAAACAGCTGGGTTTTCATTTGTACCTGCACTGACAAAAAAAGTGCACTTACGTTTGAAACTTACCATCTATTTTGCATCAGGCTCAAGGACAATGAATTTCCATGTGTTTTGCTTCCGGAGATATGGGATTTGGGGTTTTTCTTTTTTAAGTCATGCGTGGCAGTGGAATAATTTAAATAAAATTCAAATCAAAGATCCAAACACTTCTGGAAAGAATATAGATGTAATTTGGACTGAAAAGCTGGACAAATGTTACCATCTGATTGGGCCTCTGGATTACAGCTCGTGTCTATTGGCACTAGAGTCATCTACAGTAGCTGACTACATATTTATTTGTAGTTTTGAAATTTAAATTATATGCTACAAGCTTGTTCTGTTTTATTGTTTTCTTAATTCTCAAATTATAATAATAATAGTAATAGAATTGATGAGTTTAAACATAAATATAAAGGTATGTGTCAATCAAGATATATGCAAGAGCAGGCTCAATGATTAATTACATGGACAATTGTAGGTGTGGTGTATGAATGTTAACACTTTGTAATAATTTTTTAGTATATTACTTGTGTGGTGTAGAAAGAATGTAATTATGTAAGAATGTTAACACTGTATAATCTTTTTTAGTATAATACTTGTGTGGGTAGAAGTGAATCATTTACTGCTTGCAAACCAATGATGGCAAGATGATGTCAGGGGGTAGGACTGGATAAGTCTGACTTCTTCCTACTCCATTCAAGCATGTACTAGGTATAAGCACATTGATATTGGATTATGTGTAAAATTATGTGTGTTGTCATATCAACTGTTTCTACATGCTTGAAAGAATAAATCAAATCAAAAATCAAATCAAAATTATTATAAATTTTATATTGTTGTGGTGCACTGTTGTATTCACAACCTGCCATTCAGTAACTTTTGCTCCTACTTTTCCTGCTGCTTTGTTTTTAATGACGAGATTTGATATTGTTGATGCTGTGCGTCCAACCTCTGTGCAAAGCGTTACTGATGTTTCGAATCATTTTATGATTTGTGTTGTTTCATTTGGTTAATACTAGTGCAGTTCAATATTTACTATCACTAAATAATACAGACAAAATATTGTTGGAACCTCTGATAACGTGCCTTATTTTAGGATTATGGGAAAGTATAATATAGAAAGAGTGCAATATAATTAAATATCTAAAATTTGAATTTGATCTGGCAGATAAAGATAAATCCCTCTGAACCTCTTTTAAAATGGAGACATCTGGAATTATCCAACTGGGCTGTAGTTGGGCAAAGCAAACAAAACATCAATTTTGATTTAGTTTTCCTGTGTTGACAAAGACCACAAGCTAAATATCAAATGGGGTTTGGGGAAGATTACTGTTAGCATTTTTCTGAAATGTTTCTGAAAGGCTATGAATGGTTGAATAAACAAGACAAAAATGGGTTAAACCCTAAATGAAACTGAATAAAATGATTGATGATTAAAACACACACACACACAAACATATATATATAATGTATAAAACAGTTGTACAAAGCATATAATCATAACAGACATATAACAAAACATATTTTCCGAATTTAGAGATCATTTAGCACCACACTGATTTTGTTTAAAGATGGATGAATAAAAGAACTCTTCAGCTTGTTGCATCTAAATTGTGGGACTCTAAGTCTCCTGTCAGAGGGCAGATGTTGGCATTTAAGGCATGCAAGGAGTCCAAAGTCTCAGCAGCTTAAATTGCGATCAGCTTTTATTATATACAAACCACAAAGAAAGAAAATGAGAGAAATGGTGAGTGGTAATGAGCCTGAGCAGTTCCCATACCACTCCCATAAATGACAGCTGCAGATATAACATGGAAAGAGGATCTCATATTTCAGTCTTCATTCTGAGATTTTGATGATTTTGAAAGGTGGTTATGTGCTCAGATTCACTGCTGGGGGAAAGGTGGTTATGTGCTCAGATTCACTGCAGCACTAATGGTAATGAAGGGTGGGACAAGTTCAGGTTGGAGTAGGGGAAATGAAGTACTGTAGCAGGAGGGACAGAAAAAGTGGATAAAAATTGATCTGGATTTACTCTATTACTGGGTGGAATGTAAGAATTTAACTAGGCCTACATCAATGAATAACAAGGTATAGCGAAGAACAGAGGGAGAAAATAAAGGTAGATCTTACTACTTATCGCATAGAGATTTAGTTTAACGAATGGAATTCTGCAAATGACATGTTGAGGGAAGCATTACGCCCTCGCTGCGTCCGGTCTGCTGCAAATCTCAGTAGAAGAAGAAGAAGGGCAGCCTCTCTCCAAGATGGCGGCGACCATAGAGAACAGTAATGCTGGACAGGCGACAAAGAAAAAGCACCTCGGGATCCCCGAAGCGGTGTTTGTGGTGCGTAAACTATGTTGTTTCATACAGTTTCCCACGTCTGCAATGAGACAAATCCGTTGAAAACACGTCTTTGTATGTTTAGCCGGCGTGTGAGCGCGTCACGCTGGCAACGAGCTAGTTAGCTAAGCTAGCGAGAGAGGTAACAGAGTTAGCTATCAATCCTGCTGTGTGTGCAGACTGGGCGGATGCTCACCTCCATCTATGGACAGTGTCTGTGCTGTTATTTTCAGTGTACCTCGTTTTCTCCTTAGGCTTCAGGGCATTTTAGTTAACTAGTCATTCTTTTTGGGCGCTGCCTTGCTAACGATTGTGTGCTATCATTTAATTAAAATAGCGCTAGCTGACTTGTCTTGTCCATTCATTGTACCACAGTAATATTGCTATGAAAGACCCAGACTAACTCTAAATACAGAAGTTACCAAAAGAGGAAGTGCAAGCTGGATTTTTATACCTAAGGGGATTCGATATAGGTCAATCTTTTAAACATATATAGCCAGATATTGGCCGTGAAGCCACTGATGTGTAATCATCATCATTATAGCTGGAAGTATTGATTTTTCATTTATTTTCGTGATTAATCGTTTCATTATTATAATTTCCCAGAGCCCAGAGACGTTTTCAAACCTATTTCAAGCAGCGAGATTGAGTTCACAATAAAGCTGTAATGAAGAGTAATTGTCTTGATTAATCATTTTGTTTATAAAATATCAGAACAGAGAATCATGCTGGTTATAGTTTAGTGGAGGCCAAGGTGACATCTTCAGATGTGTCCTCGTCTGATTAACAGTCCCAAACCCAGTGGTATTCTAGTTAGTTCTAAGTCAAAAGTAATGGTTCCTTATAAGGAATGGTTTATTACATGTTGGTGTTTTCATGCCTTTGCTCATTATTTGCTCTCCTCTGCTGGATTTTCCAGGAAGATGTTGACTCTTTTATGAAGCAGCCTGGCAATGAGACAGCAGATGCAGCACTGAGAAGGCTGGATGAACAGTACCAGAAATATAAATACATGGAGCTCAATCTGACTCAAAAGAAACTCAGGTAACACTGACAGAAAGACACATGCACAGAAATAACTTGTCATTGTTAGTTGTAATTTTAGTTTGTGATATTTCTCCTGCCCTGCTTTGTGTAAATGCATAAATATACACACTGCATGGTAGCATCCACTTTTCATTCGGTTATATTATATGATAATGTGTAATAATTGACTGAATTAATTTCTTGCTTGACTAAACATGATTTCTATTTGCATGTAGGTTGAAAAACCAGATCCCACAAATAACACAGACGCTAGAAATCCTACGACACATGCAGAAGAAAAAGGTGTGTACACGTGTTGTAAGCTGACCTTTAAAATGGAGCAATAGGTCTGGCTGCTGGTTGGACTAAACAGTATGATTGTGCTCTAACAGGCTGATGCTGTGTATACATACTGTGATTTTGATTTGTGATTTGATGCTTATTATGAATAATTCAAATTCTTCCAGAATTTGTAGGCAAAATGGCAGCATTTTGGGCGCATAAGCCAAAATGTCTGCTTAACAAAATGTATAATTTCAACATTAGTGCATGCAGTTTATTAGTCATTTAATTTGTTTTAGCACAGCAGTATGAATTTACATCTTATAAAACTTTACCTCAGCTTCTGTTCAACTTCAGTGTTTCCTTAAGTTAAAATTTCCTTAGTAGTTCTGCAAACAAAATCCTCTTGAGTATGTAAATTTGCATACAAAAATGATTAGCTGTTAGATCTTATGTACATTTTTATAACGCACTAATGTCTGAGGCTGTTGAGTTGTTGCTTTCCTCAGGAAACCACAGAGCCCATGGAAACACACTTCTTATTGGCTGACAACGTTTACTGCAAGGCCTCAGTGCCACCCACCGACAAAGTCTGCCTATGGTTAGGGGTAAGTAAGAATTAGATTAGTCATTTTTATTTACCATTATTTAGTCTTTCATTACAAAACCGTATCTGAAAGCGATTTTACAGACATGAGTAAAACAACAAATTGGGATGGGCTCTTGTGCAGATGTAACAAATTTACTGTTACTTCAAAAGTAAATCAAAGAATCGTGGAATAACGTAATGCTCAGTATGTGGATGAGTCTGCTGTGATCTTGACCTCATTTTGAACAAAACAGCTCGCCTGCTAGTCCTTTATTATCTTGACCAAAACAGCTCGCCTGCTAGTCCTTTATATGTGCTGTGACGGTGGTAAAGGCCATAACTTCAGTTCTCTCCTCACCACCCCAACATTTACCCCCCTGAAAGGCTAATGTCATGTTAGAGTACAACATCGATGAAGCTCAGGCTCTCCTAGAGAAGAACCTATCCACAGCATCCCGTAACCTAGAGACACTCGTGGACGACCTGGATTTCCTGCGTGACCAGTTCACCACCATTGAAGTCAGTATCCTTCCACTGTTGCCCCTTTTTGACCAAGGCAGTCCTGTGACTGGCTCGGAGCCAGTTCTTTGTGTTTTGACAGCCAAGGCACTTGCACCTTAAATATCAGCCTTACAGTGTTTTTCTGTGCTGCTCCACCTAATACAAATAACTGACAGTTATTTTCATTATAATTTAAATGCAGAATGAAGACTGTGCATTTAATCTTTCTTTTCTTAAGATGTATTCATGCTCCAGGTGAAAAGGCCACTATGGAGAACAGAAACAGCTACCGTTGGCAAGACCTATGGGCACGTCATTATTAAGAAAATGCAGATGCTTCTAGAGTCAGAGAGGCAAAAGAGACTAAACAGAAAATGTGAATGAAAGAATCAAAGGGTTCATCAGCGACGGGGCTTAAAAATCTGGGTGTTTTACTTACTTGGAACTGGGTCCAAAATGGAGCCATGTGTGAGAACCCCTCCTTACACAACTTGGCCTAAACTGGAACCCTACAAATATTGCACGTTTCTATTGTAAAATTAAATGTGAAACCAATCCTGCTGTCGCTCTGCTGCTGCTGTTCCTTAACTCACTGCTCTCCTCAGACATGGCACGAGTCTACAACTGGGACGTGAAGAGAAGGAGCAAAGAAAACCTCCTCAAATCAGCAGAAAAGTCTTAATATCTGCGAGGACAGTGTCCACATCCCCTCCTGCTAACTCTCTTCTCCTTAGTCAAGGGAAAACGACAGACCCCGTCTCCCAGGTCATGTGTATGTTCACCCCAGTGCTCGGCAGATAGAGGGCATGTGTGTTCGATTTAACTTAAGATTGTTTTGTAGATTGTTTAAGTCTTGCACAGGTGCCACATGTAAGTGAACGTCATAAATCTTTTTTGGATTTTAAACATGTCCTCTATCAAGTCGAGCTCAAAACGTCCACCACTATTTTGTGTTGATTTGTTACTTTTTAAAGTATTTTTTCAAGTAAAAACAAAACAAAGGCTCTGAAGCAATTTTTGTATTCTTTTTATGTTCCCGTTATTTTGTGGCAGATTATAAGCGAAGGTTCTCTTGCATTGTCTTTTCCTTCCTGCATATTTTCCTCCTTACTAACCTGGCACTTTGGTTTTTCTCAGCCTGCAACAACCTCACATGTAGGACTTCAGTTATTGTAAGAATGCAGTTGCCATTATACTAGTATAATCAGGCTTGTAGGGTGACAAAGATCTCAGCAGAAGAGTTTTGACATAATTACAGGACTTTTATGAGTTCAGAAGAATCAGGTGTACTCTACTCCTCCTTTCACTTTTCACACCCGACCATCTCTTCTCCTTTTCTTCACTCTCCTCCTCCTCCTCCTCATCTCCCTTTTGACACTGGTCTGTCTGTGTTTATTTGTCTTACTGTGTTCATTAAACAAGAATGAAGTAAAAGAAGAACATTTGGACAAACAGATGAGATGTTGACCTGGTGCTCTGTGTGTTTATTGTTTGATGAAACTCATAACAGACAGGGTTTTATTAAAAAAAAAAAGATATCATACATGATATACTATAAACACAGGATAACTAGTTGTTTAGAAAGGATATAAACCAAACACAAAGGTTAACATGTTGGACATTGGGTTTAAAAACAGCAAAATCCAGACAATAAATGAAGCAAAATCAACACAAAGACTGTAATGGAATTATTTAATTGATGTTTTTAAAATAGATTTTTACAAATAAAAGCATACACTGAAATGATGTATTTATTGACTAGTTCATCTTTTATAAGTGTATTTCACCTGTTTATTGAGGGATTATTTGTACATTCTTTTTATAATTCTTCTATGGCAGCAGTTAAAATGCTTTCCATTACTGATTACTCTTCAGATAATCTCTCATAGGATAATCACCTTTATTGGCCAAGTATGTTATACACAAGGAATTTGTTTTCGGTACAGAACCAAGGCAGCCATCTGGTGCCACCTCAACCATCAGGGGCACTGAGATTTGAACCTTCAACCTTCTGGTTGGGAGACAACTGCTCTACCACTGCACCACAGTTGCCCCCCCCCCCCCTTTAACAATCCTTTATCAAATCAAAATAATTGGAAAGATCACACTGATACTGTTACAAGGTTTAAATTGCTTGTTTTTGCCTGGATTTAGACCAAAACTATAAGATATTAAGTTTGTTCTCATGCAGTATATGATAAAGAAAAACAGCTAATTTTTTAAGGCTATAACCAGAAAATTATACTTAAAAATGTATTTATGGCCGTGTTTTAATTGAATATATTTGTGTACTTATGCCCGCACAGAATACACACAAGGCGTCTGCTGCTCTGTTGACTGGTGAAGTTTGTCAGACCTGTGCCGTTTAACGTCCACGTGCTTCCATCTAGTGGCTATATACGGAGTTATAGCACAACATACAGAGAATTAAAACGGTAGATAATCATGCGTTGAAGGCGGATGGTAAATAAGAAGAGTTCAGTAGGATACCACTTTATAAACAATTTGGTACGTAAGTTCAGTGGTTCTCGGCCTATGAGTCGGGCCCCTCCAAAGGCTCAAGGTTGTGAAATGATTCATGGGAGTGGTATGTTCTGAAACACAAATCTTTTTTCAGTTTTTGGACTTTAATCTCTGCTTTGTTTTTTTTTTAAATAATGGATAATTTGAACACTTGTCAAATGAATGTAGTGGAGTAAACAGTACAGTGCCATAGCGCTCTCTGAAATGCAGTGGAGTAGAAGTATAGTGTAGCATAATATGGAAAGAGCCAGGAGAGTTGGTGATTGTACCCTGAAGACCATTTACTAAAAAGCAATAACCCTTTGATAAAAAAAAAAGAAAAAAGCAGTGAAAACATGTTTATTTTTCCAGCCACATTTTATTTTCAGTTTTATTTCAGTTTGTTTATAGATAACTAGAGCAGAGGAAGAGAGACTGTCCACTGTAACCCAGCAGGATTAAAGACGGTGATATACAGTATTATCTGTACAGTTCAGAGGGTTGAAAAGAACAAGTGAAACATTCGGTTCTCACCCAAGAGACACATACTTTTGACGTATGGCTGACACACTGATGACATGTTCCCTGTCAAGACTAGAAAACCCAGCTCAAACATAACATGACAACCAACCGCTGTTGATTTTTATTTCCTACCCTAGTTTTGTCAGACTTGCCATGATTTCCCATTGCACCCTTTATGAACAACTTCAAGTCAAAGAAAAAGATGGTCTGGAAAGTCCTGAGGTGTTGGTTGAAACATTGAGACCAATGATTTAGTCTAAAACATAGGTTGTTCATGGCAAAAATTGTAAATGGATGATAAGGGAACATTTAAACATTTGGAAAATGTGCTTATGCTTCCTTTCCATGAGTTAAATGTGAAGATTGAGACCACTCTCATGTGTGTGTATCAAGTCTGAAGCTACAGGCAACAGCTGGTTAGCTTAGTTTAACACAAACATTGAGGCATTTGTCTAATAGTAACAAAAATGACAGGATGCGGTTTTATGGCAGGTTATGTGCCAGACTATTTCTTGGCTTTCTTACTGGTGTTTTGTTTTTATGCTAAGCTAAGCTGGTGGATGTAGCTTCATATTTTCAGTATTGGCTTCTCATATTAGCACCAGTGTTACTTTTGAGTCACAGAGATGAGCACATATTTCTCTGAAAGACCCAGGTCATTTAACGAGATTTACCACATGAATTGTCAAAAACTCTTCTAACCATCTGGATGAAAAACAAACAAACCAAAAAACAAAAAACGCCTGTCTGCTACACTATGAGTTTAGGTTAGGAGAGTACATAGCCTTTTTTTTGTTTAAGAGTGACAACATCTGTTTACCAGCACCTTTGAAAGCTCACTAATGTGTTGAGACTCCAGGAAGTAGTTGGGAGCAAAAAGTTCACATCCCCTTTTGCACTCAACTGTAATTGAAGCAGTCCAGCACATAACCAGATATAAAACCACAACTTGTCATTTTTACATTTTATTTTTGAGCGAATTTAACAAGTATGTGTAATACAAATGTCCAAAAATATCATGTGAGCTGCAGGACACTCTGCACTGGAGTCGGGGAAGGACACTAACTGGCTTTGCTCACAGTCTGAAGCAAGAACATTAACAG